ACGACCAGCTCATTATGCAATAGGAGCGGGACACCTCACATGTCCCCCCTGTTGGTCCCATATTTTGGGTTATTGGGGAATTTTTCTGTCATCAAAAAGACGGGATGTAACGAGATCTTTGATGTCGGATCCGTTCACAAGAGGGTAGAGAACCCTTTATTCCTGAGAGATGGGGGATCTACGAATAGTTGAACTTGATCTTAAAATGACATACCAAGCTAATAAACCAACATTACTTGTTTCATCATGAAGGACATAGCCAACAACGAAAATAGACCCTAATCAAAATTACCCTCACTTTTATTCTACCATGTATCTTAACATATCTACTGCAAATACTAACAACAACAACAAAACAAATAACATATCCCCAACCTCCCACCTTTACATACCCCACCACCTCTACAAATTCTAACAAAAACAGACACAACCAGCAACAAAACAGACACAATGACGACAACATCACCCAGCGATAACCATCAAAACGGCAATCTCACCTTGGAAGACGAAGACGAAGAAAAACTACCGTTATTACTACTACCGCCGTTGTTATTATCGTTGACTGATGTCGAAGAGCCTTTAAGAAGAACATCAACCTTTGCGTATTCCTCTCTCTCTGTTCGAATCTCCTTCAACATCGCCGCGACATCCTTCATTGTGGGCCGCTCATCTGGTGTCGGGCTGACACAGAGGAGGGCGACACCGAGAGCTTGAAGCATCTCCTCAATCTCAGATTCTGGCCGGCCATGAAGGCTCGGGTCGAGCACACCTAAACTCACCTTTCTTCGCCTCACCCAGTCAACGACGTGGAGCCCGTCAGGGATCGTGGGGTCAATTGGTTGTTTTCCAGTCAGGACTTCGAGAACTACTACGCCGTAACTGTAGACATCGCTCTTCTCTGTGATTTTCATCATGTATCCATATTCTGCGATATGATATAAAAAAGTTTATGATCAACGATCGTCATTATTTTTATCAAAAAAATAAATAATAAAAATCATCATCATCAGCATCTTATTTTCATCAGAAAGTCAGAATTCTATATGACAAGTCGTGTCTACTGGATAGCAGGTGTCCATAAGAAAATAAAAATCCTAAAATCACCATGTTTGAAGCTACTTAGGGAAGGCAACTCGTGGATAGCCGGTTGAACTGTGGACATAATTCACATAATTCAACGGGCAGTATTCTCTGTAGTCTTTTATCAAGCATAATTGCATGTCAAGGATCATTCTCATGTCGAATTCCCCTAGCCATCATAGTAAAGAATCTACTATAGTTGGGCAATACGAATATCTCAATGTCACAGAAATTGGATTTTTGAGTAGAACATGATGTTGGATACTGCAAAACCTGAAGCCAACAAATCTAACAGTATCCTGAAGTAGTAACGAAACTGAATTTGGATTGCAATTACTTGAGGCGATGAAACTACTACAATACTGACCTTGAACTAGGAAATGCATTAAACTGCACTCACCTGGAGCAATGTAGCCATAAGAACCAGCAACAGTGGTAGAAGACCTCCCAAAATCCCCATCCTCAACAAGCTTAGCAAGCCCAAAATCAGCAATATAAGCTTCAAAATCCAAGCCAATTAGTATATTATTTGCCTTGATATCACGATGAACAATCGGAGGAACACAATCATGATGAAGATAAGCAAGCCCCTGCGCCGCTCCAAGTATAATCTGATACCTCAAATCCCATTCAAGCGAGAACCCATTTCTCTCATGGAGTAGGCCACCAAGACTGCCATTCTCCATATAATCATACATCAACAGCTTGGTACTTTTATTCCAACAACAGCCCAAAAACCTAACTATATTCTTATGTCGAATTGAGCCCAATGTTCGAATTTCAGCAGAGAACGAATCCCTAACTTTGTTACTATTAGCTTCCTCTTTCGTCGTCACCATTGAATTAGTATTAGGCCAGAGTTTTTTAACTGCGATCACATCGCCATTGTCCATGTTCACTCTGTAAACTACCCCTGAACAGCCTTTCCCAATAACATTAGCATCAATAAGACTTCTTACTACTTGCTCAACTGAGAAGTTGAGCTTTTGAAATGGAGTGAATTGCCATGGCCACGACATTTCTCCTCCGAGCTCAGAGTCTTCATCTTCCCTCCCTTTCCGACCTCCAAATCTCTTAGCTCGAATAATCCCAACCATTCCAAGAACCATAGCAACTGTCATTGTGATCAGAAGAGCGATCACTAGCTTAAGCTTATGAATCCTTTTCACTTCGTCTATGGATGCAGATAATGTATGGTTCTCAAAGCAAACATCACCACCGTGAGTACAAAGGCCTTGATTACCATCAAGATCGCCAGCTGATAGTTGCCTGAATAGCTTGTTATCGGGTAAAAATCCAGTGAAGTTGTTGTTAGAGACATTTAGGGTTACAAGATTCTCAAGGGACCCAAGTTGTGTCAGGCTCCCTTCAAGCTTGTTATATGAGAGATCAAGAATCGAGAGCTTGTTGAGTGCTGAAATCTTATCCGGTATTTCGCCAGTGAGCTCATTTCTACTCAAGTTCAGGGCAATGTCGAGCCCTTCAATTCTACACAGTTCATCAGGGATTGTTCCAGAGAGCTGATTGTTACTAAGATCAAGCAACTGAAGGCTAGAACACTCCCCTAGTGATTTCGGTATCGACCCGGTGAACGAATTGCCTCCGAGCACCAATTTGTTCATCGAGACCAATCTCCCGAAGCTTTCGGGTATGGGTCCAGTGAACTGATTGAGCGAAGCATCGAGTATCTGGAGCCCAACTATAGATGAAAGAGAGGCTGGAAGCCCACCGGACAATGTGTTGTTGCTGATATCCACCATCTGCAGCTGAGAGCAGTTCCCAATCGAATCGGGCACCGGCCCGGTTAACCTGTTGCCGGAAAGTTCTAGGAAGTTCAGTCCGGTGAGCCCGCCAATCTCCGGCGGGATTTTCCCGCCAATTCTATTGTCACCAAGCCGCAGCCTGACTAAAGACTTGCTCTCCCCAATCTCAGGCGGCAAAGAGCCAGAAATATCATTAGATAACAACAGCAGCTTCGTTAAGTTCTTAAGCAGGAAAACCCCAGATGGGATGGGACCAGTCAAATGGTTATGAGAAAGATCAAGAGATTGAAGATTCACCAAACGAATCAAAGAATGAAGAATGCCGCCTTTCAATCTGATTCTGCCAGGCAGAGAACACTTTGGAAGATTCTGCAGCCCTCCAATCTCGCGCCGCGAATCAAATACCTATATGCTGATTAGATATCAAGCCTGACAGCTGTCTGAAGGCCTCACCAGGTTTCCAAATACTCCGCCGAATCGAACCGACACGCTGTGCTGTCGCTCTGCCAGCATCAGCTCCTGCAACTGCGGGAGAGACCCCAACCGCCGCCGGGAATCGCTCCGGATATGATACGCCCTTGAGCGACAAATCGATCATACCCTGCACGCGACGACAGGTGCCGAACGGTGGTGGGTATCCGGGCCGACAACGAGTTCTGCACAAGCAGCACCTCTCGAGCCTTCGCAAAGCCCCCCGAGCTCGGCCGGCTAGGGGCCCGGAAAAGCGAGTTCTCGTAGAGGAGAGCGTTGACAACAGACTAGAACAGTTCCGAGCTCGGCGGGTACAGCTCGGTCAGCATTGCGGTTTGTAAAACCGAGGATGGTTCTTGCCAAGATTCTGAGCTTGCCAGCGAGCGCGGGGATCGGGCGGAGATCTGGTGTCGGGAGGCTGAGGACGGAGAGGCGAGCAGCGACGAGATGCGAGCCGGGTATCGGGCCGGCAGAGGTCGACGGTTGCCCCCGGCCCCGTAGAGACTGGAGCAGGGTGAGGTTGCGATGGCGGCGGGAATGGGCCCGCTGAGCCTGTTGTCGTAGAGGAAGCAGGTGGCTGCAGGAGGCGAGGGAGGCGATGGAGGCGGGGACGGGCCCGTCAAGGAGTTGCTGAGCTGATAGGTCCGAGGACGACAGGCGGCGGCAGGGGCCGAGAGGGTCGCGAGGGGGATTTTGGCGGTGAGGTTGCAGCCGGATGGGGTGAGGGAGGAGAGGGGGGGAGGGAGGAGCAGAAGAGGGAGGGGGGGAGGGCGAGGGCGAGGGGAGGGACTGTGCAGGGCCTGACGGGGTGACCCTGCGGAGGCGGGGCCTGCAGGCGACGGTTAGGTCCAGATTGCAAGGGGAGGGGGAGGCGGGCGTCCCAGGTCGGCGGAGGGGAGGGGGAGGAGGAGGAGGCAGGAGTTGAGCAGGGAGAAGAGGGAGAGGACTTCGGTTGGTTGGGGAGAGGGCGGAGGGGAGGGAGGGGAGGGGAGGCAGAGCCGAGGAGAGGTCAGAGGTACTGAAGGTGGCGGGGCTTCCTCGGCATTTTGTAAGCGTTCTATTAAAATTTTCTCGAGAATGTTGCGAAATGGTTTTTTTTGGGTCTCGAAAAAACTCTCTTGCTCTTCGATCTCTACGTTCGCATTGGGTTGGGGGTGGATGTGGAGCTCTATGCTTTCCCTCCCTCCCTCTCCCTCTCCCTCTCCCTTCTTGGGGTTGAAAGCGGAAGAGTTTTCCTCGAGACTTTCGAAGGGTTTCTGCTGATGTTGACGGTGGAAAACTATATATAGGTCGGATTCTGCCCGTGGGTGGCTGGCGATGGAGAAGAGCAGGAAAATGGTACTGGTTGATTTCGCGAAAACCCCCTTTAGCTTTGGTGTGCTTCACAGGACCCCCTGAAGTTTAAACTTCTCCCGACCGATCCTTCGACTCGTCCCGTTTGGCAAAGGGTTAAGGAAGAGGGGTTAAAGAGAAGGATTAATGCACTTAGCATATTCGATAATCTGAAAAACTAAATTATTATCCCGTTAAATAAGTTTTATTTTAGCCCATGTGATCAGTTTTAGTGTTTGGGAATAACAATGATTTTGACTATTTTCTTTATATTTAGAAGGATTAACTCTTAATCCTTCTAAATAAGAGTATTAGTAAACCCCTCATTTTGAGGGGTTAACTCATTTTAATCTCTCTAGAGGGGTTAGCTTAACCCTTCTATATTTTTTATATTTGGCAAATTATGGAGGGTTAACTCACTTTAACTCTTGTAGGCCTTGTTTGGCAAAGGGTTAAAGAAAATGGGTTAAAGAGAAAAATTAATGTACTTAGTCCATTCGATAATCTGAAGGACTAAATTATTAACCTGTTAAATAAGTTTTATTTTAGCCCTTGTGATCAGTTTTAGTGTTTGAGAATAATAACGATTTTGACTATTTTCTTTATAATTAGAATGGTCAACTCTTAATCCTTCTAAATAGGAGTATTAGTAAACCCCTCATTTTGAGGGGTTAACTCATTTTAATCCCTCTAGAGAGGTTAGTTTAACCCTTCTATATTTTTTATGTTTGGCAAATTATGAAGGGTTAACTCACTTTAACCATTGTATAGATTTTTTGTGTTTGGCGGGTTAAGAAGGGGTTAAGTCTCCTTAACCCCTCACTTAACTCTTTGCCAAACGGTACCGTATAGATTTTTTGTGTTTGGAAGGGGTTAAGTCTCCTTAACCCCTCACTTAATCCTTTGCTAAACAGTACCATAGTTAGCAAACTAGAATATCCTCTCAGATATGAGAGGGGCATTGTTGCATGCGAATAGTAAATATCAAACCGTACGTCACAAAAAGGTTTAAACCTTGGAGTTTTTTTTGTAATCATCCCAAACTTTGGTGGCTTTGTGATGTAGAACACACGGCAAACACGTTTATGTTAAAGTGGGACAGTCGTAAGTCCAAATACGGGCCCGGTCGAAGAAAAGAACTTGTTTCGAGGAAACGACCGTAATTTTCAAACCGTACGTCGGAATTGAACCAATTATATATGAAAATCGACTATCTCGACAAGACGGATCCATCCAAACCTATCCTTAAGGGTTTGGTTTGTTTCCTCCGTTTCGCCAAATTCCTTACGGTTTGAGAGATATATGTATTTTTGTCCGTTTTTACTATTTTTAGTAATGCTTTAGGAGTCTGTTTTGATTAAGAAACAAAGCCGATTTAATCTTAGATTTGACCGGTGGATTTTTCTAGTCGTAAGGAGTTTTGTTTAGGAGTTTTAATGTTTTAGGAATTCTTTTACTATTTTTGGTAAGTTAGAGTCCTTGTAGGAGTTTGAGTCCTTGTAAAAGTCTTGTTTCTTTTCAATTTAAGTAGAGTCTTGTAAGCCCTAGGGGCATGACTTTTGATTAATAAAATTTTATTTTTCTTCAATATTTACTTCGTGGATTCGAAGCTTTTCGTGGATTCGAATATTGTCCTTGGTGGATTCCAATGCTACAACTTCCGCGCTGCGTCACTTTGTGAAATCAACCTAATAAGGGGCTGTTTGGTTAGAATTTTTTTCTCTTGAAAGCCTGCCAAAGTGTCACTTTTTGGCAGGCTTTCAGCCCAATTCACCTCTAAAAAAGAAGATTTTGGTTGAAAGCCTGTTAAAAAGTAACATTTTTGGTATTTTTGGCAGGCTTTCAAGAGAAACTTTTCCTTAAAAACAGGGAACCAAACAGCCCTTAGATGTAACTATAAGGAAAACCCATAATAAGATGTCCTGCATTAGATGTCATCGCTAAATGCGCCGGCCGGTCCAAAACCCGATAAGAGATGGTTCATGGGACACATAGGATGGAGGGGTACAGACCTACAAGGACTTGATCGAAAACAACTGAGAAAAATACGTTATGGTTAACTCAGTAGCTGTTATGACTTTTAACATACTTTGAATTCATGTACTTGATCCTAAAAATCTTGAATAAGTTCTTTACTGTTGATGGATAAAATTCTCAACGACCCAGGGGTTAAAGAATTATTTTCCATCAAAAGTGGTTTAAAGTAAAAAATCAAAGCAAATGAAAGGGGTAAAGTAAATTCACCCAAGACAAGGGGAAAAGAAAGAGCGAATGAGCCTCAACTTCTGGGCACTGAGTAGTAGTACTAGTTAGTTCCCACTTGGATTTCTGAAACTTAATTTGCTTAATGCAATTTTTTATACTTTAAACCATATTTTTTTTTATTCTAATAATATTCTAATTTCAAAGTATTGGATCGCGTCACGCGCGGCAGCAGCAGGATAGAGAGACGACACCATGTGTGAGGTTGTTCGCATGCAGAGGGTGGTGGACTTATTATCTCTCTACGTTATTTCTTACGAAATACAACATATAATTTTTTTATATAATGAGATTAATTAATAAGGGAGTCAATTAAAATTAATTATGTGCATGGATTCGCGAGATATAATTTTGTTTATAATGAATTGTCAAATTGGCAAAGATTGTGGGGACATAAAGCATCTGTCGATGGACCTGGGAGTTATAAAGGGAGTAGGTCTTACTCTGGGTTTAAGCGAAGAAGTAAACGAGCTGAGTGTCACTTTGAAATGAGAAGGCACAAGAGATTCTCTAGGATACGGTTGTATATTAGATATCCCATATGCATCAATCTTCACTAACCACAATAATTAGAAGGTCATGAGTTGTTTAGCTCCAAAATTTTTTCATGAATTTTAATAATTCCAAGAAAACCAACTCATATTAATGGTGTGTTTGGGAGTTTACTAAGGGCTTGTTTGGATTGAGGGGAATGAGGGTGAATGGAAGTTAGGGGAACCATTCACCTCCATTCACCTTGTTTGGGAACACTTAGGAGGTGAAGTTAATTCACCTCCATGCACATTGGTTCACCCCCAAATAGTATAAAAATTGTTACCCCCCAAATTAGGGTGTAACCAAGGGGAAAGGAATTCTCTTCCCTTCCCTTCCTTTCCCTTCCCTTCCCTTCACTCAGTTTCCCTTAACTTCCCTTCACCCCCTACGAATCCAAACAGGCCCTAAGGGAAGGGAAGGAAAGGTAAACAACGGGAAGGGAAGGGAAGGGAAGGGAATTGTAATATGTTGTTTGGGAGTTGAGTAAGGTGAATGAAGGTGAAAGGAAGTAAATATATGTAAATTTACATAAATGACTTTAAAACCAAGTAATTTTACCCTCCGTTCCCCTTCCTTCCTCCTCTCTACCCTCCTTAAAAAAACTCCCAAACAAGGTGAAAGTTGTATTTCTCTTCCCCTCCCCCTCTCTACCCTCTATCCAAACAGGGCATAAAGCAATATCTCGAAATTGTTTTTTAAAGAATCTTAGACTCTGAAAGTGGATCTCTCTGTAATCAATGTAGTATCATCCAATAACCCAAGAGCTCTCTAGATAATTATATAAG